ATCGCTGCCCCGTGCTTCACCTTGCTAGAGCACTGCATTTCGGCAAACCTATGCTGAAATCTTTGATACGATTGGGCACAGGTTTGGTAACTGACCAAAGGAAGGCGTATGAGCTGAGCAATCAGTCACCTGTTCCCAATAGGCACCATTTCCTGAATTCGCCCCGTTGCCCTGCCGATAGGCTATCCAGCCAAAGATCCGGGATGGTGTCCCCTAAGTCGACTCCCTACTTCAGCTTGGGTAACCGGATGAACAATGAACAATGGTTTATCACGGGATAAAAGCAAGTTCTTGACACGTCCCGTAGGATGGTAGCGGTGAATATGATGCAATTAAAATATGTCTGGGTCATCTATCGAACGTCTGCCGACATGAATACTTTGATAATTAACATCAGTGTAGAATGAAAAAGAAATATCGCGCGTAAACATTTAGAAAGACACTGGGGCGCAGTGATAGTTGAGGTAAAGAGTGAGAAAATAAAATATGGTCGCTCACTTAGGTCCATTTGATACATTAGTCCTGTTGAAAACATGCTTGGCGTAATCCACAACAGAGGAGCTTAGGTAACAAAATGTTGGGAGCTGAGAGCAACCTCTAATCGTTTTATGAAAACATCCAGGGTAGGAGAGGATACTACTGAGTCTGGATGTGCGTTCCATGGTTTGCAAACCCGAAGGGAAAAGTAATTCCGTCGACACTCTAGACGGCTATATTGTTCCTTCAATGGTAAGCAGTTACCCCTGAGCTGCGTGTTGTGGCTAAGTTTCAGCAAATGGCGGCATACGTCGTTAGGGTCACTCAATATCTGATACGCTAATATGAGATCGCCGCGCAGCCTTCGATAACGTCCGCTGAAAATTCCCAGCAACCTCAGCCTTCGGTGGCAAGAGTGATACCGCAGGCCCTTCACGTTCTTTGTTGCTCTCCGTTGTGGTGCCTCTATCGCTTCTAGGTCGCGTTTCAACCAAGGTTGCCAAGCTTGGATTGCGTACTCAACATGCGGGCGCACGTAGGAATTGAGCATCATTGGGAAGATTGATGGGTCAAATCTCCCGAACGCCCTTCGCAGCTTGCCGAAGTGCTGGTTGCCTCTTTTGGCAGCTACCTCAGCCTGTTTTGAACAGTTGAGGTCGCTCTGTACGATCACACCAAGATCACGTTCCTGGGAGCTATTCTGCAATTCGTTTGTCCCAAGTATGTAGGTGTAGTTATGACGATGGCGTAATTGTACTACACGACATTTGTCTACGTTGAACGGTAGAGCGTTTTGAACTGACCAGTTCGACACTGTGTTAAGATCGTGCTGGAGCCGTTCATGGTCATCTGGTCCTCTGATCCTTCGCCATATCTTGATATCATCAGCGAAAAATAAGAAATCGGAAGTAATTGATCTCGCCAAATCGTTAATGAACACCAAGAATAGTCGAGGTCCAAGAACCGAGCCTTGTGGTACTCCACACGTCACGTCGATTGCATGAGAAAATGATTCTCGGACTCTCACCACTAGCCGTCGTTCTTGTAGAAAATTGTTAATCCAACTCAGGATTGGATCGCCAATGCCGTAGTTCCGAAGCTTCTGAAGGAGAACTCGATGGTCTAAACGATCAAACGCTTTTGAAAAGTCCAGGTAGATGACATCGACTCCAACTCCATCATCAACAGCTTCAGTCCAGTTATTACGTGCAATTAAAAAGTTAGTGTTACACGAATGCTTTTGACGAAAGCCATGTTGCTCTGGGGCTATTAAATTGTGGCTTTCCAAATATTCCATCAGCGCGTCTGCGACGATTGATTCCATCACTTTGGATAGTAGGGGAAGTAGTGTTATTGGACGGTAGTTTGCAGGATCAGTGCGGCTACCTCCTTTATGGATAGGAGTGATGACCCCTTGCTTCCATACTAGTGGAATAAGGTTTTCCTCTAGACATCGCTGATAGAAAACAGCCAGTGGTTTCGCTAGATCACTAGCTACTGCCTGTAGAGCCTTTGGTCAGATGTTATCAGCTCCGGGAGAACTGTGGATACGCAATGATAACAAATTCTTCAACACAGCTTCTGCAGTGAAGGTGATGTTATCTAAACCAGATGGTGGCGTATTAGAAATGAGGTGAATGTTTGGGCTCGTTACCTGCTGGAAAGTAGGGGAGTAATGAAGCCGTAGGAGATCAGCTGCTTCCATTGCTGACCGCGTGTATCCATCAGCCGTGACTAGTGCCGGAACCCCTCGCTTTACCTTTCGAAGGCCGTTAATGTGCCTATACAGGGGTTTGTGGTTAGTGCAGAATCGCTTCATTAACTTCTGCTGATGCGTGACCTTGTCTTCACGGATCAGTTTCACACAGAAGTTAGATGTGTCACGTATACAGTCCAGGTTTCGGCATTCAGGCAACCCTTGTGATTTTGCCATGCCAAATCCCTCCGGGACATACATTTACGTGTTCTGCTCCTCAGAAAAGACTTACTCTGGTTTTTGGGTTGGAAGGACTTCTGTTCCGATGCTTGCGCTACCAGTGTGCTCAAAGTCCTTGTAAACATATCCCAGGCCAAATCTGGGGGGCATTCGAATAAGAAAGTCCAAGATGTATCCTTAACATGCTTGGACAACACATTGTAGTGCGTGACAGTGTGCACTTTATCCTCCTCCTTTTCCGGGTACTCGGCATAGCATATATAATCAAAGAGTAGAGTGACATGATCACTACGACCCAGTGGTGTGCTTGTAACTATCCCGCCAACCATGAGTTCTTCGTTAGTTAGCACAAGATCCAGTACCGACGGCTTGTTAGCAGTTCGAAATCTGGTGGGAGAGGTTACGTGGTTGTAAAGAGGGTGGCTAGCAATAAGTTCTTGCAAACAGGCTTTAAACTGCGTGCCGTCAGTTGCCGGCGTTTCTATGTCGTGCACGTTAAAGTCTCCCGCGATAAGAATGTGGGTGTAGGACTTGTTCAAAGCAAACTGAAAAACGTGGTACAGTTTGGAGTCCATTTCCGGCGTTGAGTTTGGCGGGCGATAAACCACGGCTAGTAGACAAGTGTCCTTGTTTCGCAACCATAGGCGGTACCAAAGCGAATCGGGAGCTCGGATTTCCGGGTGATCAATAACTTCACATCGGAGGCTTGTATTATAGTAAAGAATCACACCGCCACCCATTCTGGTTCTATCGGTCCGAAGCAGCGACATACCGGGTAACTTGATCTCAGAGTCGGTTATCTCAGGGTTTAACCATGTCTCGGTAATCATGACGAGGTCTCGTGGTTGTGAGGCATGGAGTTCTCTAAGTTCGGCCAACTTGCTTCGAAGGCCTTGAGCGTTTGTGTACATGCAAGATAGGGCTTTTGTGATTAGGAGTTCATTGGTGGATGTCAAGTTTGTGTTCGCTTTTAAGCCGGCCGTTAGGTGGCCGGCAATTAATCGATTTTTGGTTTGTGTATTTCAGTCGTGTTACATGACATTATTGAGCGTTCCTGAACTTATGGTTCACTCGTGCTGTGCTCGGTCCTCCTGTGTGACGTGGGCGCTGTTGTGTCGGTCTCTCCGAAGGACTGTGCAAATAAAGAATTTGCAGGGTTTGCAAGTTCCATCGAATTTCTTCCGACTTTTGGTCTTTCGCCTGCTGCCTTTAGCCGTATTTCTGTTGGCAACCTAGCTCAAAACTTTAACCAGCTATCCAACTGAACTTGCGTCATTCCCTCAGAGTGTAGTATTACCTTCATTAGCCTTGGACCGCAGCCCTTGTAGTTAGGTGATAACGGAACTCTTGTTAGGGATTTGGCAATAACATTGTCAACAGAGAGTGCTTCGCGGATGTAGCACCACTGCTCTCGGTCATGTGTTTGTGCATCGTGA